TTGGAAGTTGCATCAATTGGATGTTAATAACGCCTTTTTACATGGCGAACTAGAAGAAGATGTTTATATGAAAATTCCACAGGGGTTTTCAAAACGGGATGACACTCGTGTCTGCAAATTGAAGAAGTCGTTATATGGTTTAAAGAAGGCCTCGCGGACATGGTACCAAAAGTTCACTAATGCTTTAGTTGACTTTGGTTATAAGCAGTCCCGAGCTGACCATTCACTTTTTACAATTCGAGAGGTTGATTTGTTTGCAGCTGTTCTTATTTATGTTGATGATGTTATCATCACGGGAAATCATGTTTCCAAGATCGACTCTACTAAACAACATCTCGACAAAGTCTTTAGCATCAAGGATTTGGGTCCCCTCAAATATTTCCTTGGAATTGAAGTAGCAAAAACTTCAGATGGTCTCGTCATGAGCCATTCTTGAAGATTACGGTCTACTTGGCAGTCGCCCTAGTACGTTTCCTATGGAACAAAACACGAAGATTGACATATTTCTTGACAGTCCTCGAACTGATGTCAAGCAATATCGACGCATCATTGGTCGTTTGTTGTATTTACAAGCTACTAGACCTGATATCGCGTATTTTGTCAACATTCTGAGTCAGTTTGTTTCTGACCCACGTGAGGAACACATGAAGGCAGTTACTAGAATTTTGCGCTATCTCAAGGCTACCCCTGGTCAAGGAATTTTCATTCCCAAACATGGAGACTTTCATCTTGCTGCTTGTTGTGATGTCGACTGGCTCGGTTGTGTTACTACACGAAGATCACGTACCGGATACATTTTACTCTTAGGTGGCTCCCTAGTATCCTGGAAGACAAAGAAGCAGTCCGTGGTCTCGCGTTCCTCCGCCGAAGCAGAATATAGGGCCATGGCAACGACTGTTAGTGAAGTCCTTTGGTTCTGATGGCTGTTGCAAGATTTCAATATTTATATAGCCGATCCTACTCCTTTGTTTTGCGACAATCAAGCTGCGCGCCACATAACCAACACTCATGTCTTTCACGAACGAACAAAACACGTTGAGATGGATTGCTATTTTGTTCACGAACGTGTGGATTCCCGTGACATTAAGCCTCTCTGCATTGAATCAAAACACCAGATTGCCGATCTCCTTACTAAGCCCTTGGGTGCTGAACGACTCCAGTTCTTACTTAACAAGTTGGGCATTCTTGATTTTCATGCTCCAGCTTGAGGGGGAGTGTTGAAATTAATTAGTTGTTATCTCTTTATCCAATTTACGTATTTATCTGTTTCTATGTATTAGGTAGGCAACTGTTTTATTCTTCCTTAGTTATGGGAAATCTCTTTGTATTTATTCAGGAACTTTAATAAACTTTGATCGATTGGTTTTTGATACCAAATTCTTCAGCAGATTAATACCTTAAGAGCACGAAAAGTAGGTTTCGAGTTGTTGTCCTGAGAAAACCAACATCCAGAAGAGCCCTAAAGGGCCTTCTGCTTGCTTTCAGGTGCTTCAACTAAGAAATCTACGCCAGTAGCCAGTAAATAGAGTTATTTATAAGAATTTATTTAATAATAATAAAAAAAAATCAAGAAATAGTGTTATTACTCATTACATACCTGAAACCTAAGAAATCCTGTAACTTAGTATCAAACTCCAATCCACATGACTGAGATTTTCAATTTCTGTACATAGAACCCAAACTCTGATAATAATTATTGTTAATTTCGTTTAACCCCTAATTTTCCAGACTACAAGCACAATTCCTAAAAAAAGCAAGAATTTACCTTCCCTCAAAACGACTTTAATTCGAGGATCGAGGAGACCAATCGAAACCAAAGAGAGAACGTAGAGGCAGTACAAAGGCGTGCAGGTCGGTTGTAAGCACCGACAAGGATCGATATCAGAAAGCCAAATCGATGTAACCACCGACCACGCGAATTCCATGAAGCATGTACACCACAAGTGAATAAGGTTTAGAGTACAATAATCGAACAATTGGTGGAAACTTACCATGTTATCATCAAGAAGAATTGGGGAATCATGAAGAAGAAATTATAATTTTTTTTTTGGATGAATAGACCAACAGAGATACGGGCGATATATGATTTCTTGATACTTGGACCGTAAGAATTGCCCCCAAACAACATCAGAATTAGCGAAAAACTTGAAACCCTAGAGATGGAATAAGCTTGAGCGCATGGTGAAGTGTGTGAAAGAACGTACGACATGGTAAGGAAATCAATATATAGGATGAGAAGAAGCGGTTGAAGGGATTGTGGTCTAGGGAGTTTGAGAACGTCGGAAGACGACCGAAGTTGGCCATCGACGCAAAGAACAGTTTGGAACCGCAAAAAACCTGTAAACGTGGTTGGTTGAAGGAGAACTATCATAAAACACTCTTGAAAGGAGGCTCAGAAGCCGGTGGAACAGTTTTGGAAGGAGACAACCGCCGTTCGTGTATGTGGGGAGCCGAAGGAGGAGTCGTGGGGAGGAATGGTGAGGAAGTAACTTCGGATTAACCGTAAAGTTGAGTTATTACGGCTGTGATTGAAAGTTGGGGGAGTTTGAACGGCTATGAGGAAAGAGACGGTTTTTAGACTCACCCTCGTCAATAGTATTAATAATTGGTTAATAAGGAAATTGATTTGGAGTCAGTTATGTATTCATCATGCGGTTCTTATAAAAAAGATGTTAATTACTTGTTTCTTAGCTTTGAGGCGGCGACTCAAACTTTGTGTCGTATTGGTCGATGGTTGTACTTATGATTCCCTCGTTTGATATTGTTAGAGACATGCGTAAGTGAATTGATTCTTGGAGTTTGTTTTCGATGAAGTGCAGCTCTGAATGCATATTTTGTAACGGCCACTCAGGTGTTTTGGAGTTATTGTAATGTGAAAATATTCAGCTCAAATAATTATCGAAAAGATTCTATCTTTGATAGCATTGGTTTCTTCATAGAAATCGCAAAATTAAAGTCAAATGTGTTTAGTTGTTAAAATACTCTTTATTAGTGACTTTGTAATTGTTTGTTTCTTTATTTTTCTAGCTTATTAATAGCTTATAACATTCAGTTGTTCAAAAAAAAGATAAGATGGACCTTTTGTACACATAAATTGTCCACTTATAATACAAGAAAAAACAGTAGTACGTAGATATTGAATGCATTTTGAAAATAATAGGGAAAATTGTTGTATATTTTGTATAAAACACGACAATATTGCATAAATTAAGATAATATGCAAGGCTATCACATAAATCGTTAATTAGCCCAAATAGACAATACGTTCAATTATATATTGAATGAGAGTTTTCCCGCATGTTGCGACAATATTGACCATTTTTATAATCTTTTGTAATATAGAGACCAAATTTTTAATTATTTTTTCTTATACACAAATACCATTTTTTGTTAATTTTGTCTTACATAAACACCGTTTCTTTAACTTTGTTACACAATAATCATTTATGTAACTTTTTCTTACATATGCCAGTGTTATTTCCTCTTTTGAGTTGCTTTATGTGGAGGGCAGTTCTAGATCGGATGCCTACTGCTACAGCCCTAATCAGACATGGCATTCAACTCCCATCCCCTACATGCACCTGGTGTGGATTAGAACCTGAAGACACAGACCACGTGATTCTCCGATGTCCAAAAGCTGTGATGGTATGGGAATGGATATTTCGGTGGTGTGAGATTCCTGACTTGCATTTCACACATATAAGAGACCTGGTGGAATTCACTTCCAAATGGGGAACATGTCATAAAAAACGGAGGACTCTAATTGCTATTTGCTATGGGACAGCATGGCTCCTATGGAAGGCACGATGCGACTGGACCTTCAAGAAAACTCGATCTTTACCTGCTGTGGTGGCTGATATGGTCAAATCGACAGTCTTTACATGGGTCAAACATAGGAGATTTAAATGCACATTTCGCTGGATGGATTGGTGTGTAAACCCTTTTAAATGTGTATAAACATGGAATCTCGTATCATGTAAACTATAAAAGTGCTCCATCCCCCTTCCTAGCATCTTGCTAGGTTGGGTGTTTTAATAAAATTTGCCGGTTCAAAAAAAAAATGAAGATTTGACCGACTACATTTATCTCCTCCGCTCCATTTAAAATGAGAATCATGGAATTTGTTGTTGTTGTTGTCGTCTCTCTTACATGGGGTCAATTTGTAATTTCATGTATATCTTATAGAGGGACCATTTCTATAATTTTTTTACATAGGAACCATTTCTATGATTTTTCTCACAACCATTTTTGTAATTTTCTTTCATACAGTGATCATTTATGTCATTTTGTCTATTTAAAACACATGTAACATTTCTATATTTCTTCTCACACATGGACCAAATTCACCAAAAAAATGTATTGTATATGATTTTGACATTATGAACATATTTAACATTTTGGTAATGTTATATTGGTAACTTAAAAAAAAAAAAAAAAAAAAAAATCTTTTGTTGATTTATGTAAATGTACGTTGATTTTTTTTAAGTATCTCGTTTTTGACCTGAACACGTGTAGGCTTTTATATTACACGTAACTGTTATTAATGAATATAACAATCGTATGTGAAAAAAAAAAAAAAAAATTATAACCAATTGGATGTTAGAACCAACCTTTCTACCATTTTAATCAGACTCCTATAAACTATATAGAAATTCAAGGAAAGAAAAATCATTTTGCGTTACAAATTTACATAGGAACACAAAGAATCGTCTCTTGCTAACTAGGAAAACACGAGACATAGAGGAATTGTTGATGTTTTGGTGTCAGATGATGATTATGTCCCCAAACTATAGAGTTATAGGTTAAAGTTGGTATACATATTTAAATATTAAAATTTGGCATCATTCAAGATTTTCATACATCCAAATTTGAACACTCCTGTATACTAAAACGATTATCATAAATTATGTATTAATAAATTAAGAATATAAAAAAACAATTTTTCTATGTTATACGTAACCAAAATATAGACTATATATAACAACTCTACAAATTAAATTTCATTCTTCTAGTTTGAGGTTCAATCTCCTAAGCCAAACAGAATGCAATATCATATGAAACACATCAAATCTTTGTGAAGGTTGATTCAAAACAAAATGTCTTCTAACTTGTCTCAAATTCTCCTTTAACCTCAAGTACTCATCTTCCCTCACCCCCATCAAAATCTCCTTCAACCGTGAAACATCCGACACCTTAACATTAACCGAAAAAGCTTCCCATTTCAAGACGTCGCTAAAAGGTAAAACATAGTTTTCAGATATTATCACTGGCACACACTCTGAGTAAATGGATTCTACAATCCTAGGACTAGCGACCTCGTAGCCGCTAGGGCAAATACAATATTTGGAGGCTAACATGAGAGAGTAGTAGTCTAGGTGTTTTGGGAGGTACTCAAAGATTTGGAGATCTGGGTCCCGACCCATCCAATGGTGGAGGAGGATGGGTCTGATTGGACCGTGGACTCCACCTGCAAAAAAAGCCAGGTGGGGTCTCGAGGTGGTGGGTGGTGGAGGGGAGACAAGTTTTGAAGGGATGTTTCCGCTATGGAGATTTATTTCGGGGAGACTTACGTCTTTTTGTGGGTCGAATCCTTCGGATGAGTTGGCGTTGCATAGGACTCGAATTGAATTTGTGTAAAGGCTGGGGTGTGCTTTTGAGGCATGTGGGCCCTGAAATTAATGTTTTTTTTTTTTAACATATATAAGATGATTGGAAATTGCCATGGTATCATTTGAATTGCATAATTCTTCAAATGAATTACTTAAGTAAATTTCGTTTAATTTGCTTCTATACTCACATTTCGTTTATTTGTTTAATTAGTGGAATGGTCACTTATTTTGTGATTAGATAAAGATAAATTGATTTAATTTGAGAAATTTGGAAAATATACGTCGACCATAACAAATACACGTTATTGTAGAGTCATGTAATGATTAGAAAGAATATGGTGAAGTAAAAAAGTAGAAATAATAAAATAATGATATTTTTGTGCAAAAGAAATTCCAAATGTTTAGTTTTGAAAATGGGAAAAGAAATAATAATACTAATGCGTATATTAGTCACATTTTTGTGCACTAGATAAATTTGAAATGATTATAAGGACCACAAAAAATGTATGGTGGTACACTAGTAGGCATGCGAAAGAGTATTCTCATATAATACCATTGTATTTTATGTTTTACCTATAATAGCAATATATTTTTTTAGCAACAAAAAGAAAACCTTTATTTTTTTAACCTATAATAGCAATATATTCTTGTAGTGATTGTGTTTTTATAAAAAATACAAGTATGTTGCTATTATGTGTAAAGAAATTTTAGCACATTGTTAATATGAGTAATAACAACTGTGCATTGATGAAATTCTTCATGAGAACCATTTGTGGTATATTTTTGAAAGCACAGGGACCGTTCATGTAAATTAATTTTGGCTATTATAAAACTGGAATAATAATAGAGGATGATTAAAGATAATAGAGTTTAAGGAGAAAAGTAATTACCCAATCATGACAAGAGAGCATGAAGTGATCAGCAGCATGAGTTCTATTCCAGAAAGGATGTTTGGTGGAGATGAGTCTGACGTAATCAGATACAAAATGTCGAAGTGGGGTCATGTCATACGTGTCAGGCTTGTACAGATACTTGACCATCCACGTCACACTGAAAGGCATGAAGTAAACATGCGCCTGGTGCGCATGTTTAGTTCTGAAATTATGTCCTCCATGTTCCATCTCCATTATAAATCTTCCTTCTGTTGTGTATATGTTTTTGCATGGTCCATCATGCACCATTGGAAGCTCACCCTCTTCATATACATATACTTTAAATCTCTTCTCCATCTCCATATAACTCCTGTTTAATTAATTTAATTAATCATTTTCTTATATGTAATACTTTTGTTGCCTAAATAAAGAAAAGTTACAAAATATAACTTTTCCACTAAAATTGTTTTGCTAGAAAAAGAGGATATATAGTAATTAACAAGACATTGCCACAAAAGAAAAAACCCACTGGATTTTTATTTTTTATTTTCTTTAATGCGTCTATTAGAAGTAAGGCCTTTGATTTCCTTTTAATGATTATAACCCAAAAACAATAGCGACATTCCCTTTTTTTTGATGAATGGAATGTTGTGGTTATCATTCTAGTGACTTAGAAGGAAAGTAGTTGTGAAAGGCAATCCAAGCTTTTCCTATTATTTATTTATAATTATAATAAACTAAATAAATTGTATTTAGCTTATAATTAGTTTTAAATATTTCTATAGAAAATTTCATCGACAATTTTTTATTGTTAGTTTTTTACTACTAAAAACGAATTGAAGACATAATACAAAATTATCTTTAGAAATATAAACTAGATACACTTATATCATCTATCTATGTTTAACCTTGATTAAATTATAAGTTTCTATGTTTTCTTTTTTTACTATAACATAATCTTCATTTTTGTTTATTCTTCTTATTTTAATTGAGGAATAGCGTGTACACCATTTATCTATGACTATTGCTAATGTTATCATTGAAAATATCATTTTTTTTGGAAGATGGTTTGATTATGAAAAGAAAATGTGAATTATGTCATATCTGTAATTATGTAAAGTTTAATGATTAAATAAATAATTAGTTAATTTTTTCCACACGTCAAAACTCAAAATGTTCTTTCGTAATTCAATAGGGACTGAAAGTGAAAATTTGAGAAGCATTCTATGGAGTAAGCTGAGGGGCGAAGAAGCTTACTGATAAAACGCGCTTGGGTTATGATAGATATCACTGGACAAAACGTCGCCGCTTCGAAGAACTTGAGATAGGTTATGAACAGAAGCAGCTCGCCGGATCGAAGCTCTTGCTCTTGCAAGTTCTATCTCCGGCCGCCGCCGCCGCCGTCTTGCCTGCAATGTTTCAACGATAACGCATCACGAATCGCAAATGTTAATCTAAAAACGATGAATATAAATCAAAATTAGGGGAACTAGAATTCGTCGAGTATAGAAGTCGAAATCAGGTGAATTTTTCATAGAATCATGATCAATGCACACAGTCTCTCTCACACACACATACACACCTGAATTCTGCCTGATTAACGTCACCCTAAGAGTAAGTTGGATACAAATCGGGATCGATACAATTTTGAAGCAATCGTGTTTTACTCTATATCAAAATTTGCGTTTGAGTTTGTAGCTTCAAATGCATATGAACGCACGCAATCAACAAATTCAAGGCGATGCTACTTTAATTGTATATTTCCAATTTATACACATATAAATCGTAATGTAACAGATTTGATTATCGGAATTCAGTCGTCTAGATTCAGTGAAAATCGGAAAAACTTTCGGAAGAAGGTTAACACTTAACACACTCACACATGAAATGCATGCACAATTATACAATTAAGTAAAATATACAGCTTAATTTCATGATTGTCCTGTAAATCGTCAATGTAGAGCTTTACACATCAGAATTAATATCAATAACAATGATTTTTAGAATAAATGGTGCTTACGATGAAAGTTCGATTACGACTGAGAATGAGAGGAAAAGACGTTGATGATCGGTAATGATCCGGTGATATGACGGCTCGGAATTTGTATTCGTCGGAATGTTGATGAGTCAAGTTTATCTGACTTTGCAATTGAACAATCGGAATGACGAACTCCGGTTTCGAATCAGTGCTGCTGAGGAAACAAGAGAAGACAGCGCCGAAGGATATAATCAGAACTATGACGACGGTCGTCAGGATAATCGCCGTTGCCGTTGCCGTCGCCACGTAAGCCGATACTCCTCCGTATCTCGTCGTCTTCATAGCTAGCGAGAGACGACGCTTCGATGTGCAGGAGTGGAGAAAACTATCTCGCTCTTTGCCTCTCTCTGTGTTTTTATATGGGTGGAAATTGACACTTTTTATGAGTTTATTTATGTAAGAACCATAAAAACCATTTTTAGCCATATATTTCCAGGTCAAAAAATGGATTGAAAAAAAAGAAAAAAAAAATGAAGCAAAGGCATGAAAACTCGTCATTTTTAACATTAGAAAAAGAGTAAATTACACTTTTAGTCGCTATGGTTGGCACATTTCTGCACTTTTGATCATATTCTTGAAAATTTGTCGTGGATGATCGCTGTGGTTAGTAAATATTTCATTTTTGGTCCTTGTCGCCATCACCATCAACATTTTTCTGTTAAGTTCGTATGAGTGACTAACTTCAAATCTCACCCAAAACACATAAAGGTTGGCTAGAAGTGGGGTAAGATGGTTTGAGACTAACCGTTTAGCTTGATTGTCAAATGTGAACCATATCTCCTATAAGGCTATAACCTTGAAATAACCAGGAGACTAAAGTCAGTAAACAAACTGTATCATATGTGATATGCAACCATTATTACAAATTGGGTAAGACTATACATCTCTTTGTGTACTTTTATTTTCTCCTTCTTTATAAAAATTAAACGTTTTTATTATAAATATAACTTTTATGATATTGCAATAAATGGTAATATTATTATTTATATTCAAAATTAATATCAAAACAACAATGTAATTTTTAATAATGACATACGATTTGACACTTTAATATTTGGTTAATGGTTAAGTGTAATAAATGAGTATTTGGGAACTTTTAATTGTAGATTTGATCCGACAAATAGTTATGGTCTCTTAAGTTGGATATAAATGGCCATAATTTGCCTTTTTAATTTATATATTATTAATTATATTTTTATTATTAGTATTATAAATAAGTGATATTGACATACAAGTCATTTTATCAGGTCCCGTTGGATAGTTTCTCATAGTAAGTAACCACTAATCTATGCCATATTAGGTCCTGTTTGATAATTTCTGTTTGGAAAATTTTGTTTGGGAAAGTGCTGTCTGGGAAAAGTTTTCTTACTGAGAAATAAACCATGTTGTTTGATTATACATCTGATTGATTGTGTTAAATGATGAAAAATAACAATATTACCCTGCTGTTTTATACTGTGATGGATGAAGTTGCTGAATAATTATAAAAACATAAAATTATCATACAAAATCAAAATTACACAATAATCATTTAAAAATCTAAATAAAATGTCGATTAAGTTGTTTTTAGTTTTTTTTTTCAAGTTGATTTTACGTTGTTATTCTTTCTAGCAATTTTAATTTTTTTTATAACTCAACATGTGATTCTTGACCCGATTTATTTCTGATAGTGGTGGGATGGATTGTTTTTCTTAAAATATATTAGGATGATGGTGGTGTTATCTAAAAAAAGAACTAATCTAATAAAAATAAATTAAAAAAATTAACTAAAAGAAATTAATAATCCAATAAAGTAATATTTATTAATATATAAATATTATATATTTATAAATAATATTTATTAAATATGAAATAATCCAATAAAAAGAAATAATCCATAAAAAGAAAATAAAAAATGAATTATTTAAAAGAAATTAATAATCCAATAAAATAATATTTATTAATACATAAATATTATATATTAAAAATAATAATTAGTAATAAATAATAATCCAATAAAAAAATTAAAAAAAATATTTAAAAGAAAATAATAATCCAAGAAAACAAGAGGCGGAGTTTGGGGTACAATTGTCTTTCCAGCCTATTCAGCCAAAAGATATGGTTTTGGAGATTTCTGGGAAAGACATATCTTAACGGGAAAGACCTATTTTTTTATGCATATCAAACAGTCTTTCCGGTCCATTTAGCCAGAAAGATCTGTTTGGACCTGAAAAGATGTCTATCAAATGGGGCCTTAGAAGTTTACGTGGCAGTTAAATTTTATTAAACCCTTTAAAAAGGTTCGCTCATCTCAAAACTTTCTTTTAATACTTTACACAAATGGTCCCTATACTTGTTAGCGGTTATAATGGTATATCAGCCATCTTACATGTATTTAGCATATGGGATATAACTAGGGTTGTAAACGAATCGAACGAACACAAACACGAAATGGTTTGTTCATATTCGTTCGTTTAAGTTGCCGAACAAATGAACGAACACAAACGGATAAACGAACGAGTTTTCTTGTTCATATTCGTTTGTTTAACAAATTACATTGTTCATGTTCGTTCGTTTATGTTCATTAACATGTTAAACGAACATAAACGAACGAACATAAATGAACAAAGATAAATAAACATAATTTGAACATATATGAACATATATGAACATATGATATAGTAATGCAATCAAATACAATTAAACATATATGAATATAAAATGAACTTATATGAATGAACATAAACAAATGTAAATAAATAACATAAATGAACGTTCACGAACATAAATGAACGTTCTTCATGTTCGTTCGTTTAACTAAACGAACGGAAATTTATGTTTATATTCGTTCATTTATTAAATAAACAAACGTAAACGAACTTCCCGTCGAACGGTTCACGAACAGTTCATTGAACGTTCAGTTCGTTTACAACTCTAGATATAACAAAATTATCCTTAGAAACCTCCGATTATCAATTTTCAAAAATTAAACTAAAAATACATACTGAAGCAAGCCACATGAACCAAATTTGTAATTTTCTCTAAATATTATTATAATATATTAAAGCTAACATTTTTATCAGCTTTCTCTTTTTCTTGTTATTTTTATATCTTTATTATATTAAATATAGAAAAGAGACATATATAATATTATACTTAGGGGGTGTTTGGATAGAGAAAAAAATGGTTGCTTATTGCTTATTGTTTATTCTCACCACAATAAACTGAGTTGAAGTGTTTGGATAGGAAGCTTAAAAAACCAGTTTATTGTGATGGGAATAAGCTAAATAAGCTGATTTTAATAAACATATTGCTTATTGCTTATTGTAGTAGGAATAAGCTAAATAAGTTAATCCAAACACTTTTTAAAAAACTGTTTATTCTCACCGCAATAAACTAATAAGCAATAAACTAATAAGATAAAAACATATTTATCCAAACACCCCCTTAATATTGTTTAGTCTTCTTTTATTTCATAATTATTTCTTTTAAATACTTTATGTTGGTAATCAAAAAGTCAAATCGTTGATTCCAATATTGTTGTAAATGAAGCAAGTTAAAAGTCTTCGTATTTTTTATTATTATTGTAAGAGTATACTTTCATCAGCAAAACTTAACGTTGGCAATTAGTCCAACTTGGAACGGCTGGCTAATGCTTAATATCGAGAAGGCACTAATAAAGATAAGGAGCGCTGTTAATCGGGTTTCGAAACCAATCTAATTAAAATTTTATTTTTCGTTCTTACTTTACAATTTAATTTTTAGTTGTTTTTTAAAAACAAAAAACATGAAATTTCGATATTGCCAAAGTATACAACAGGTTGTGAAACAATCACTTCAAATGTCATTTTTTAGAGACGAAAGTCGAATAGAGTCAACTCACAGAATCATATCTAAAAGTGTGCCAAACACCAAAATTTAACAAATGGAAAATTGTGTTCCAAGTTCTAAGAGCTACTTCTCTGGAGATGCAATCTATATCTTGTTCTTTTCTTGAGATCATTATTAGTTTAATAAATAAGAAAGTCGACATTGATGATAAGTAATGATCTAGTGACATGACCGCTCAAAATTTGCAATCTTTATAATGTTGATGAGTAATGACTCAAGTTTGTCTTATTTAGAAATTGAACAATCGAAATCACGAACACGGTTTTGAAGCACTGATGCTAAGGAAACAAGAGAAGACAAGGCCAAAGGATATAATCAAAACTATGAAGACAATCACTACGAAATTAAGAATGTCGTTATGACTTAAGCAAATACTTCTTCGTATCTCGATGTCTTCATAGATAGCGAAAGACACTTCAATGTTCATGAACGGAGAAAACATGACATGACATGTAACACCCACTTTCCGGACATGAGTTATTAATCAAGTTGATTTAGTTTAAAGTTGAGAAAAATAATTTTTGTCATTCACAGTACGAGTTTTGTTTTGCGCGACTCATACCATGTCATTATGTCGCAAAGCAACTCAAGTGATAGCCGTGACACGACGTTGCTATGTGGGACTTAAGTGTGAGGAGTGTTATGCTTTGATATGGTCAACTGTTGATCATCAACCGCACAGTTATAAAATTCATTTTTAGGTATGATGTGAACTATGCAAGAGGTTTATGTAGTCAAGATGAGATTTGTCATCTTATGTGTTGAGAGTTAGACATCTAAGACGTCTTACCAAAAGTTGAATACCAGATAAGATTGATTGCGGTCCGGATCTCATGTTTACCAAAAGGGATAACTAATAACTTACCTTATACACTAATTGTAGCTCTGGGGAATTGGTCATTAATAGAATGACACAAAGTCATATGTTGTTGGGACAGTGAAATTTTACTAGATGTTTATCACTGTTTATATCAATCTAATATGAATCTTGCGTAAGTAGGAGATTGAAAGATCTAGTATGCTCAATAGTCATAGTAAAGTGATATTGCTAATTAACATATGATACTAATGTGTCACACTAACAACAACTTGATACAATTGATTATTTATTAAAAATTGATTTTAATAAATATTCAATAAACTCTTATAATTAATTGGAAATTATTTATTTCATGAAAATATTAATTTTCATTAGCAAGTAACATAATATATCATATGATATGATTTATTAAGTCATGTACATTATTTTAGAGTAGAAAGACTTTTTTTGTCTTTTAGCTAAAGTTTAAGGTTTATATCATGGTTCTAAAAAACGTGTCGAGGTGTGATGTAGCCGTTACGAAAACATTCAAGGCGGGTTTGTTAAGCGTGACGCTCAAATAACGTGTCAAGGTGCGCCTTATCGCGATATG